ACTGTATGCATTAAATTAATAGTCATTGTTCAACAACTATCTTGCTAATTAATAGAAAATGTACACACATTAGTCAATTAAAATGAAAAAAAAGATAAAGGGAGCAAAATCCAATTTTGTGGATGATGTTGAACAGAGTTTGTAGACAATGTCACTGATTTAAAAAATGGAATATTGTTTAGAAGAGATACAATCCATAATTAATGAATAAAATTATGGTTTATAGTGGAAAGTAAGAACAGTTTGTAGAAGGTAACTGTCTATATAGGAGTAGTAATGTGGATAAAAAGATCCACTGCACAAGCAAAAGAACTGCCTGAGACAGCTTATCTGGACTTAAACAATCATCTCATCTTAAAGGAACACCCTAATAATAAGTCCTCCATAATGCACGGTCAATATTATGATTCGTGGGCAGTCTTACACAGGTACATGTTAACCCCATGTGTATGGGGGGTTTCTGTGCTGGAAAAAATTGTATGGCATTGGCCAGAAAAAATATTAAAAGAGGCGTCCCAGTAGTGAAGGGGTGAAAGCATTTTTCTTCTTCCTTTGCAATTTCCTAAAAAATAGCCTAATTTCCTTAATTAAATTTACCATGTTTAATGAAAAGGAAGGTAAGGCAGAAAATACTTTTCCTTTTCTCACCTTCTAAATCTGGTTGCAGCCTTTTCTCTTTTTGAGAGCAATGCTCTTAAACAATTTGGAAAAAATAGTGTAATGAGAAATAATTGTTGTCCATTCCTATCTGAAGTATTGAACTTTCTAAGTTCCATTTGGCTAACAACAGTATACTCTTGATTTAATGGAATCCAATATAACAAACTCTCGATTTAGCGGAAGGAATTTTTTCTTTATTTTTCACTCGATTTAATGAACTAGTTCACTAAATCGAGATTAATTCCGTTAATACACTCACACTTACAGAGATACCTTAGACACATGATATGTACATAAAACCATTAAAAACATTATTAATGACTTACCTTAAACTAGGGGGTTCAATATTTGTCTTAAATTTTTTCATAAATTCCCCCCCAAAAATTTCCAATTGATAACCACACTCTTTTAACTTTCTCCCCCATACCACTTCCTTTCTCAGACTTCTGAGAGATTTTCAGCATGATGTCTAAGCACAGTATACATTAATACCTCGATTTACGCGGTTCTCGTTTACGCGGTTCTCGTTTACGCGTTTGGTCATTTACGCGGTACCTTGCCAGAACCGGGATGCCCGATTTAGGCGGTAAATTTGGTCATTTACGCGGGTGAAGTATAATTTGTTTATTTACTGAAGATATTTGTTTTAGCTCATAAAATTCATACAAATTACCCGGCCAGAATATAATTTACATTGATGGAATTCTTACAAGATGGTGATCATTTTAAATACAGTTTTACCCCGCTTAACGCGCTTTCACTTAACGCGTTTTATCATATACGCGGTGCCTTGCCAAAGCTGAACTTTCACTTAACGCGGGTTTTTCCACAGCTACGCGGTGAGTGTCCGGCTCGGATGCTATTTTTAGATTTTGACCACGCGCCACCCACCCGCCCTCCTGCCTGCCTGCCTCTCCCTCCTCCTCCCTCCGCTTGGGTAAGCGGCGCGGTAAGGTTGCGCAGTGTGTGTCTTTGTTGCGTTATCACTGACGTCATATGACGTCTCGGACTGTGATTGGCCATGCAGCCCTACCCCCCTCTGCTGCTAGCTGTAATTGGCTTAAAGTATTATGACGTGACTACCCCGGGGAGGGAGGGAGGGAGGAGAGACGACGCTTGACCTAGCCGCGGCAGTTTCATCCCTCAAGGCCACGCCGGGTTAACGCGCATCCATTGTTCCGTAAAATGGCTTCCGCCGGACCACCACCCCCAGAGAGAAACCTTTCCTTACCTGGACCCAGCGGCACTAAACCAAAGAAGACACGACGTTCATTAAGCTACGAGCTGAAGTACCAAATTGTTCAAGATTTGGAGAAAGGAAGACGCCAAGTTGATCTCGCGCGCCAGCATGGCGTCAACGAATCTACGATTCGTACAATAAAGAAGGATGCAGCCAAGATAAAGGAGCACATGAAGATCACAAAGTCTGCAGGTGCTTCATCTATCAGGTATTGCCAGAACAGGGTGCTGGCAAAAGTGGAAACTTTGCTGGTGAGTTATTTGGTGCGTCAGGCGCGACGCAACATGGCGGTGGACACGCGCTCAGTGCAGGAGTACGCACGTGAGCTATACGCAGCAGTGACACGTAAACTGGGAATTGCAGAGCCCAAACCCTTCAATGCTTCCCATGGTTGGCTGCATAGGTTTAAGAGGAGGAACAAGGTCACCAACATCAGCATTGTTGGTGAGGAAGCGAGTGCTGACCGTGCGGCGGCTAGAGATTTTCCTCCGTTTTTACGTGAGATTATGGAGGAAGGACAGTACAGTGACGACCAGGTGTTTAACATGGACGAATCTGGTCTTTTCTGGAAAAAGTTACCTTCCAAGACCTTCGTTGTCCAGTCTGCGAGCAAGGTAAGGGGCCGGAAGATGCAGAAGGAACGCATCACCGTCCTGTTTACCACCAATGCCTCCGGTACCTGTAAACCAAAGTTATCGGTGATTCACAAAGCCCGCAAGCCGCACGCCTACAAGAATATGGACATGAACAAGCTTAATGTCCACTGGCTAACCGCACGTAAGGCGTGGATGTCCTCTTCTCTGTCCCTCTTCTGGTTTGACAACTTTTTTGTTCCTGACGTGCAGAAATTCTGCGAGCAACAGAATGTTCCTTTCAATATTTTGTTGCTCCTTGACAACGCACCTGGACACTCGCCCCTACTTATGGATCGTCACCCCAACGTAAAAGTGGTCTTCCTTCCTCCCAACACTACGTCATTAATCCAGCCCATGGACCAGGAGTTAATCTGCAATGTTAAAGCTGCATACTCGGCAAAGAAATTCAAGCTCCTGAACGACTCTACCAACACCAAGGATGAGTTGCGTAAGCTGGGTGACACCGACAGCGAGAGTAAAAGCGACGAGGACAAGGAACAAGAGGCGGCGACTCAAGAACTTCTCGTCAAACAATTTTGGAAGAAGTTTAACGTCAAACAAGCTGTAGACTTCTTGGTGGAGGCATGGGATCTGCTGTCTATTGCTACGATTCGTCACGCATGGAGACATGTGTTGCATGGCATACCAGGTGAGAGGAGGAGTGAACCTGTGACTGGTCAGGTTCAGACTGTTGCAGTAGCAGTGGACCTTGCCAGAGAAGCTGCGCAGACTGTTACAGCTGAAGGCTTCTCCGAGACCACCAACGAAGACATCATGGAGGTGATCAGAGATCCTGAAGTGACTGCCGACGAGATGTTGGAAGAAGAACCCGCCAGTGAAGAGGAGGAAGAAGGTGCGTCATTCTCCGAAGAACCTAGTTTAAGCCATAGTGATATTAAGTGTGTCATAGAGTTAACAGAAAAAATTAAGTCCATCGTTTCCCGCGACACTGACGATGAACGCCATGACGTCTTCCATACCCGACTGGTGCAGGCTATGGAGCCGTACATCACGGTGTATCATGACAACATCAAAGCCAGCCGTCAGCAAAGCATAACCGAGTTCTTCGCCCGCAACCCACCACAGCCAGCCCAAGCCAGTGATAGTGATAGTGAAGTTGATTTTGAGGGATTTGTCAGGGAAGCCATAACAACTGTAAGTGACAGTGATATGGTGATTCACCTAGTAATGGTGATTCACCTAGTAATGGTGATTCACCTGAGGGGCAGTAATCTGCCCTCTGCCTCGGAACCAGCCTCCATCCCCGTATGCCGACCCATCTCTTCTACTACCGTGAGTGTTCCTTAAAAATTTTCGTTTTTTAACCTATTCTTTATTTTTCCTATGTTAACCTTTATCTTTCCTAACCTAACCTCTTCTATATTACTTGTTTTTCATGCCACCATAAAGTTAAGATAGAATTTTTACTACAACATAGTTATTTGTCGTCAAAAAGTGGAGTTTGGGGGTCGGGCTGGGTTCTATTGGAATTAATCCCATATGTTCTGTTATTCACTTAACGCGGTTTTCACTTAACGCGGGACCCTCTGGGTTCAATTGACCGCGTTAAGTGGGGTACAACTGTATAAACATCTTAACATTTGCCTTAGACATACAAATTTTAGATGTAATTTAAGATCATGAAAATAAGCAAATATTTTATCTTTTGTGCAAAATATATGACGTTTACATTCAAAATATTCCCAGACCTGCAAGGAATCCAGAAATGTCAATTATATTATCCTAACTTTAGTCTGAGGTATTATTTATTACTAAAAATGTAAATATACTGTTTTCTCCCATACATTTCTCTGGTAGGGAGGGAGGGACCCAGTGAGCGTGGGAAGAGGGGGGGGTGGGGTATTTTGAATGACAGATAGTGTCTGGGTGAAGTATAATTTGTTTATTTAATGTTAAGAAATTTGTGTTTAGCTCATAAAATTCATACAAATTACCCGGCCAGAATATAATTTACATTGCTGGAATTCTTACAAGATGGTGATCATTTTAAATATAAACATCTTAACATTTGCATTAGACATACAAATTTTAGATGTAATTTAAGATCATGAATATAAGCAAATATTTTATCTTTTGTGCAAAATATATGACATTTACATTAAAAATATTCCCTGACCTGCAAGGAATCCAGCAATGTCAATTATATTACCTTAAAATCTAGTGTTTTCACCCAAACATTTCTCAGAGAGGGAGGAGCCAGCAAGCATGGGGAGAGAGAGAGAGGGGGAGTTGAGTCCATTATTTGAATAGACATTAACCTGGTGACTGTATTTCTCTTAAATATTAATTGCGTGTGTATACCATCATATAATTAAGATGTTATTTTTACTACAACATAGGTATTGTGTCGGTATTGTGTCCGGAAAAAGTGGAGTTTGGGAGTCGGCTTAGTCTCTATTTCAATTAATCCCATATGTTCTGTTATTCCATTTACACGTTTCTCGTTTTACGCGCTACTCCGCGGGTTCAATTGACCGCGTAAATCGGGGTATTACTGTAGTTAGTTAACCGAGATGTAAACCAAGAGGTAGCAGTGAACAACACACGCGGTGATGGCAGGACACAAGACTGATTGGATGTAAACAAACCCCATGCGCCAAGCGGTGCATTTGGCATGGAATTTAATGGAATTATGTTTGATTTAGTGAACTAGTTCGCCAAATCGAGCGAAAATGACGGAAAGTTCAATTTAGTGGAAATTTCATCTTAACGGAAAGGGGTGGCTCGAATTAGTTCGTTAAATCTACAAAATACTGCATTCAACCTGTGACAGAAAAAAAAAATTGAAAATTTTATATCAATGTGAGTGTTTCTATTACTGTACTACGTATGCTTTGAACATTGGAACTACAAAGTTTCATTAAACAAGCTGTAACTGAGTTTTTGAAAACTATACTAGGTCAGGCCTATCACTTCCTCAGGAGAATTACAGTCCACCCTCCCAACCTATGTCTTTAACATTACTTCCTATAACCAAGAGTTCAGCCTCAAACCTAAGCCTTCCACCCACAGGACACTTACCGTATATGGAGGCGTATAAGTCGACCTTTGAAGCCAATTTTTTAGTGTTCAAAGTTAGGGGGTCGACTTATACGATGGGTATAAAATGATGACCGGAAGTGAGAGTATTTCGTATTACAACCTTCATATTTACCTTTAATATAATTGTTCTATATCTATTATGGATGAAATAAATTTTTTCTCAGTAGTTTTATTTAAACACCTTTTGTTATTGATGGCTGTGTGTGGACTGTGGTGGAATGAGCAGGAAGTCAACTGAGTTCAGTGTTGCTATGATTGTTGGGTCAGTCACTAATGACGTTGTGTGTGACGTCATGTATAGAGTGGCTTGTTTGACTGTTTACCTGTTTATGTGTTTTGATTGTTGACTTGGTCCTTCACAACACTTGACAGCTGCTGGAGTTGGGGAGTCGACTTATACGCCGTCATATACGGTACCTATTTGGTTAACAAAATACAATCCCCAAGGATAAGCCGACTTACACTGCTACTCTTATGGCCCTAAATTCAATTAAGTTATACCTCTTTTTATTATACCAATAAAGCAGACATGTGGCTCACCCATAAAGCTCCCCAGGTGTTAAAGACAATGTGAATACAACTTACCTCTACTGTTGAGATGAAATTATTCAGGGTACAACCTGTTTCAAGCAGGAAGATGACTAGACTAAGGCTTATTACTAGAAATAAGAGATGATCAATGAAGGACAAATGAGGGCTACAATGTGCAAGCTGCTGTAGCTCCAAGGCTCAATTAGTTCTTAATCTTGAGTGGTACAGGTATAGGGTTGTGACATGAGAGTTGTGCTAATTGTTTCATTAATGTTCTGCTGATGTGTCAAAGGTTATACTGTCATGGGTTGCGACCTAAAAGACTTGATGAATACTACACAGGCATATTGAACCAAAGTTTATGTGATGCTACAAGTCATAATATGTGGCATGAGATCCTTGAAATAAATGGGGATCTTGGGGTGTAACATACAGTATAACAGATCATCACCATGTAAGTAAGGTAGCTAAAATAAATATAATCATTGGAGATAAAAAGTCCATTGCTTACAAGTTCAGACATTGATGGTGGTACAGAGACATCGGACAAGTCAGAGTCAGCATGGATCCTGGCCAATCGACCTCTCAGTTCAGCATTTTGTTGCAAAGCCTGAAAATATTTTTATGGAAATATAAAACAAGACATTATTTTCCAATTTTACTATTATAAGTTATCTTCACCAGTCCAGTACTGATGGTTTATAATGCACTGTGTGGGATAAATTATGACCATAACAGTATTTTGAGTGTTTCCTTTATGATCAAACAGACTATAAGTGGAGGAAGAATTCTTAAACTATGATGGCCATGAGTAACTCCCACCCTCCATAAGCCACATAATAAGCTAGTACTGTACAGAAAGATTACCATATGAAAAGGTTTCGTTCCTAGGAAACCTTTTGTAAACCAATATTTCATAAATCAATACTGTACATGTGTTCCCATTGACTCCCATTACAGTGGTCCCCCGATTTACGCGGTCAATTGAACCCGCGGAGTAGCTCGTAAAACGAGAAACGCGTAAATGGAATAACAGAACATATGAGATTAATTGAAATAGAGACTGGGCCGACTCCCAAACTCCACTTTTTCCGACACAATACCTACGTTGTAGTAAAAGTAACATCTTAATTTTATGATGGTATGCACACACAATTAATTTTTAAGAGAAATACAGTCGCCAGGTTAATGTCCATTCAAATAATGGACTCAACTTTTCCCCGACTCTTCCCACGCTCGCTGGCTCCTCCTTCTCCGAGAAATGTTTGGGTGAAAACACTAGATTTTAAGGTATAGTAATAAATAATACCTCAAACTAAAGTTAAGATAATATAATTGACATTGCTGGATTCCTTGCAACACCAGGAATATTTTGAATATAAACGTCATATATTTTGCACAAAAGATAAAATTTTGGCTCTTTGTAATCAAAATTCTTACATTAGATCTAAAATTTGTATGTCTAATGCAAATTCCATGATGTTTATATTTAAAATAATCACAATCTTATAAGAATCCCAGCAATGTAAATTGTATTCTGGCCGTGTAATTTGTATGAATTTTATGAGCTAAAATAAATATCTTCAGTAAATAAACAAATTATACTTCACCCGCGTAAATGAGTAAATTCGCCGCGTAAATCGGGTATCCCGGTTCTGGCAAGGTACCGCGTAAATAAGAACCGCATAAATCGAGGTTCAACTGTATATAAAGGGTAATGGATTCCTATAGAAAAAAAATCTTCCCTAAAATATAATAAAATGACATTGAATGTTTTTAATGACGTTTATAGGAAACAATGAGTGTAAGAAAATAATTGTAATAAAAATGAATTTGTATTCAATAGTAATTAAAATGAATTTAACTTTTGATAAGTTTATTTAATTCTAACTAAAAAGGCATTATACTTATGAAAGACTGAGGTGGGTAACACCCATGTGTCTTGTGTTAGCCTTATCATCATCAGTCTCCTACACTATATACAGTATTTGTTGATTATAGTATGCAAAAAGTGATAGGGATTTATTATCACAATTAAGATATTTCCTTTATCATGGTTTTCCTGATCCTTGTCTTTTACATTAAGCACAATTTTTAAAGAACTTGGTGGTGAGTCTGTCTTTCTCTATGTGGCAATGATACACACTAAGGTATTACCGCACGGGTAGCCAAAACGTCGATCGCGATCTATCAGTAGATAGCAAAGTAATTTCTGGTAGATCGCGGGATGGGCAGTAGTGATGTAGCCCATCAACAGGGATCCTACAGGCACAATACACATCACCACAGCCAAGAGCACAACCTGTGCAACATGCCTTTGCATTTAACAGTCATTTAGCAAGGAAGGACACATTTAAATAATTTTGGGAATAATTAATTAATACAGTGAACCCTCGAACATTCGGACTAAATGGGGGTCCACTTGTCCGAAAAAGCCAATTGTCCATATCCATTGGCAAATGTACTAGATGTATAAAAACGATAAATAATTATATAAAAAACGCCAAAAATACAGTTCCGTATTTTATGGCAGTGAGTATTTAGGAAAAAACTTTTGTGTGTGTTTTCCTCATGTACAGTAGTCATAATTTTCTAAAAACAATATAGAAATTACACAGAAATGTGAGGAATAAATAAAAATAATACCAATAAATAAGTAACAAAAAATACTGTCTTGTCAAATCGGTAAATAAAAGCCTAATGAAAGTTTAACGCAGTCGCCATTTGCATACACTCCCTGCTTAACCATAGCAACGAAGACCAGCTGGAATGTTGATTCCCTAGCAGTGCTCCCCACCCTCTACACTCTGTGCTCTCCTCCTGTTACATGTCTGCCCTTAAGACAATTATTTCTTTTACTTTTTTTCACAAAATGCATACAGGATGGTGTGTGCATGGAACCGAGTAAAAATAAATGAAGAATGTTACGTATATCTACCCGGAAATAAGAGTTTAAAAACCATAATACCTCACAGCTTGGGCCAGTAGCCTGATGGTTATAGTGATGAGTCTAACCTGGCTACAATGCCATGATTAAGCACTATTATATCAATAAACACTAATTATAACAGTAAATCCAGTAAAATATAGCAGGGAGCAAGGAAACTTGAGCTACAAGAGCAGACGATTCTCTAACTTGTAATCACTCACTTGCTCCCATTGCCAGGCGTACGTTCGAAATAAGTGTAGGAGAAATACATATCTTGTAGTGTAATTTGAAAATGGTTACGGACACAGTGATAAGCAAATTATATAAACTACTTTATGCATTTACCTATGATAACATAACATGAAACATTGTATCATTACTAGAGTGAATGAAATAATATTCCCACAAACAACAATTGACAACTCTGTTTATCTTTCCCGCCTCGGGCACCCGTGTCCCACTTGCTGACATTATAGTTACACGGGCCTACACGGGAGGGTCCTTAGCCCCCGAAACCCCAAAATTTTGTCCAACTCTTCCGAAATCTGGATTTACTAGGTCTGAATCTTTGAGGGTTCACTATAATGTCTAAGAAAATGATACCGCTAACATAAAAATCCGCAAAATTTCACCTGCTGTGAGCCTGTGAGCAGTGCAAATCACCACATCAGTCAACTAAGTTCTTCCTCATTCTGTTCTTAGATGTATGATTATGCAACAAAAATTATATAGGCACTTGGCAATATTGTATATGTATGTATTCATTTAATTTTATTTTTGGTTACTCTCTCTCTCTCCATTAACTCAAAATTTAGCTATTACCTGCTGGAGGTCAGGAAAATTCGTGCTTGTAGATCACATTTGGAAAACCATGGAAAAAGTAGATCCAGTCACACGAAAGTCCGGAAAACCCTGTATTACTTTATAAAAATGTTCTGATCTACATAATTAAAGTAAAATAGCAATAACTAACATTGGCATTACTACCTGTAACTGTTCCATTGGTTCTCTTATCTGTGTTTGTGTATTATTTCCTGAATATACTGTACAACACATCATCTTCAAAAACAATGCTACAAAAATCAAGTGTCTAGACTAAACTGTAAACAGATGTCTGGGTCAGCACATCAGCATCATCTAACGATAAAACAATGAAAAAATATTTGTACCTTCAGGGTTTTCATTCATATAGAAAATCATATGAATCACAACTGTCAAATTTGTAAAAAGAAACAAGGTAAATCAAAGCCTGACTGTATGTTTTGTTGTAGGTATGACTTTGATATCATGCACTAGCACCAGCCAAGTAAGGAAGTAGTTAAATAATAAAACTGATAACTATAAGTACTCTTTTAAATCGTTGACTTATTAGGGAGGTAATGCAACTCAGCTTGGAAGAATTCAATCTTCTCTAATTATACTTTCATTCTGAGCTGACTTGCTATTCTTGCTGCTTATTGCCTAATGACAGCTCTGTTATGAATAGCACAATTATCAAATGGTAACAGATGACAGAAGAAATTTTTTTGATGACTCACCTGATTAAGAGAGTTTCTTAAAGCAGCAATAATTGCTGTTGTGTTGTGAGAGGCCAAGAGGTTTGATTCTGACTCAAGGGCTTGGCGTAATTTCTCTCTCTCAGTCTGAATCCCACGAAGTACCTGTCCAATTTGACTCACAACTGCAAGCATAAAAAATTTGGTAGAAAACTGAATAAGTGGTTGACAGAAGAGCAAAAGAAGCAACTTGAGTTACTTTAGCAAATAAATCTGAAGATATTAATCACAATATGGTGTGATTACCCAATTAGTTGTGTGAATACAGTATTCTGCCAAGATCACAATTTATTATACTGTACAGTCTCTCCTCGACTTACGACATATTCGACTTACGACAACCTGGACATACGACGACCATGGTCGTATAAAATATTTTTCACATTACGTATTTTCGAGTCCCGACATTAGTGATCGTGCTGTGTACTGAAATTTTTTATTTTTTTTTTAATTCCCTTTAAAATGGCTGGCAAGCGCAAAAGTGAGAGTTCTCATGGTGCTGAGAAGAAAAAAACACCCATTTTAGAATTTCTATGTATTATTTTCTCCTTTTCGACTTACGAACTAGTCATCGGGACAGAACCCTGTCGTAAGCCGAGGAGAGACTGTATATTGAAAAAATGAGAATACAGACTTATCATACTCTTACCTTCTTTTGCCAAAATTGTAAAATCTTCTCGAGATGTACTTTCCATAGACAATGTGATGGTTGGAGGATTAGGTGCTTGATGGTGGGGTTGTGATGTTGGTGATGGGGTATTTGGAGGCTGCGCACCACCCACAACGGCCGACGAAGCATCAGAACAGCTATGAGGTCGTGAAGCTGATGGATGCCAACAAGCACTGTGTAGTGCCAGTGTTGGGTTGCTGCTACTCAATGGTCGTAGTTCACACAGGTTTCCATCTACCTGCTAAAAACAAAATTTCCCTTTAAAAGTTTTTAAACTCGGAAGTATTCATATGAAACATACAACCTCTGCACCTAGTGCAAATCCTATCATTCACAAATCATTTGATATACAGTTATGACACTCGGATTCGCTCTCACACAACAGCTTGAGCACATTCAACCACATATTCCAAAAGACTTTCCTTGTTTCACTGTTTTCTTCAGTGATTATTCTAACTGTTATGTAATCGAGACCTAAATGACCTTCTATAATCTACCAAGTTCCTCTGACCGCCAGCCACTTTAAACCATCAAATTTTCTAAATTAAAATGTTCACAGCCTAGCATATCCTTGTTTGCTTAACCCAACACAGTAGCCATAACATTTCTCAGTCTTAAAATGAAAGGATTAAGTGAGCCAAATTAAATCTGTGTATCCCAAAGTGGATGAGCTTTGTGGCTTGTGTTCACTGCCAGTTCTAAGCCTAAGAATGGGGAATGCATCAGCCTATTTATACACTGCAGCCTCAACCAAATAGCCTGAGTCAAGACAAATCAAACCATTGTTATTAACCATGTAGAATTGGTGACGTTATGCATATGAAAGTTATTCAATTTATTCACACCTTTGACTCACTCTCTCTCTCTCTACAGTTTCTACTCCTTCACAGGTTGTCATATTAGGTTCACTCACTTAGTCTAATCATGAAACCATAACACACTTCATAGTTCTTAAGTCCAATTCTACATCAAACAATGTCATTTTCTAAGAACCATAAACATTTCAAGAATATTTCTTCTATCTCTTGCTCATGTCCTAAGACTCAATAACAATTTATACAACTTACCATTTTCCTTTTCTTTACACTATATACAGTACAGTATACTGCTTGGTAAACTTTACTTCATAAAGCCCTTCTGTTTCTCTCCTTTACCCTACAGGCCATTAATATCACCACCATACTACTACAGGTATTACCACAATCACTAAAACTAGAGCCACCATTAACTCCATCATGACTAACACCCCTCTTTATCATATACTGTACAGTACTCTCCAAAGTTATTTACTCAAATCCATCAACATTTGGCCTTCCAGTTGGAGGCTTCAATAAAAATGAATCTAATAATGAAATAATCAACAGAGGCAGAATGATAATCTTAATTTTCTTCAAAAGTAGAGCTTGTGCAGGTGAACAAGGCTATTTGGTTAAATAATCCTAGGGTTGAGGAACATTAAATCATTTATACAATTATATCTTCTTTCTCTTATACATTCGGATACAACCTCATTCCCAGATCTTTTACGGACACTTATAGACACCTACAGGTATACAGCATCTTAATTCTCACTCAAGTGAACTACTCCCCTCACGTCACTCTCCACTCTCATTCTAGCATTATAATACACACTAATGCAATGTTTACAACCTTGAATGATTCTATATCTGACTGATATTAAAGATACCAAGGCCCATAAAGCTATACAAAAATCATCAAGCACTACCAGTATACACACAAAATATATTATCTTTCTTTTCAGAGCATTATTAATATATGCTGTCTATGTAAAATTATATAGTACTGTATCTAGTACACTAGGTAATAAGCATTAACTCCTTTAAACAGTTTAAGTACTGTATACAAAAGCCATGATTCAAGTTTACATAAAAAAGATATTACTATATCCAATATGCTTTTCTATGTCATAAATAACTTACATACCAATTCACTCCAAAACCAATAAGGATGCTGAGGAAAAATGGAGATACAATGATAGAAGTAGAACAATAATCTACTTTCAGTTGGATATATACATACAGTACACACTACATGTACCTGGAAGTATAAAAGGCATCTACCTGTATATGTATCCTATACAGTCAGACCCCGCCCAACACGACGGTTACGTTCTTGAAGAGTACAGTAATGCATTCCGTGATTTGAGTAAGGTGAGCTTCAGGACAGAATATATGGGTATTATAGGAAGTTGGGCATTTGATTGTCAGATGAATCCAGAAAAAAAGTAAGAGTTTTATGTTACTAAAATCATTTAACACAGTACAGTATTCGTAATTAATCAAAGAAAACACCGTACAGTATATACAGTACTCACATCAGGGTCAAGTTTCTAGTACCAAATCTATAGTTAGGCAGACTATTTCTGTAGAGTCGAAATTCATGCCTGCACATATGTTAAGGTATTTTGAAAAGGGGAACAAACTGTTGGATATCTCTAGTACCCAAAAAAAGTGACTAAACTTGACTTTACGAGTTCCTTTTCTTACTAACTAAAGCACCAATGAACATTAGACTCGAGAACAACAGTCTGTTTCAATGTGAGTATCAATATGAAGGAACACCAGACTAGGCAGCTGACGCACCATCCTGGAACACCAGACTCGGCAGTAGAAGCCACACTGCCACCCTCACTTGACAATCCAACACCTACATAAACGAACACCAAAAATATTAGTTACAGTATTAAATCTTTTCCATTAAGCTTTCCATTTTCTTCACTTCACTTTTCACGTCACTAGCAACCCATTTACACTCGCCTTAGAAGTCGTAATCTGCAGCAAAATTGGCTGCTTTCTCGTCACTCACTCAGAAAGACTGAGCGTGCAAGCGTGAATGCGTGAGTGAGCAGCCACGGTGGCGCCTCAGGCGACCAAATAAAGCATTTGTTTGCCATGGTGGTACATTTAAAAAATTTCCTGCCCGATTTCCCCTGCGAAATAAAAAAAAATTATCGCTATACAGTCATGCGCCGGTTAATGTCCTAGATACGTTCTTGGAAACGTGACGTTAACCGAAATGGACGTTGTCCGATCATCACATAAACTTTGTATTTATAATTACGTGTATGTGGAATACTATATACGTACATATACACTTTTACTCTTAAATCACTACAGTAATGTTAAACAGGTGATTAAATTTTATCTCTTGTGCAAAATACATGACGTTTATATTAAAATTATTCACTGTTTTACAAGGATTCCAGCAACGCTGGGCAGATGGGGGAGAGGGAGGGAGGAAGCGAGCAAGGGGGCTTGAGGGGAGGGGAGGTAGCACGTTTGACAGTTGCCACAGGCCCAGGTCTAACGTGTGTATATTTATCAGTTCTTAAGTGACTAAGCTTCTCTCTTATAAAAAGCCAGTGAAATGACCTGGGTGAATATAATTAACATTGTTGGGATTCTTGTAACATAATGATTAATTTGAATATAAACATGCAATAATTTGCATTAGACATAACAATTTTAATACCGTAATCAAATTAGTACATGTGCACTCCAGCTTTGCACTTAGGTCATTTATTTCTGTTACGTTTCTTTTAGTATGGTGTGTGCATGTAAATGGATGAAAATAAATGAAGAAATTTATGTAAATCTACCCAAAAATACAGTTGAAAAAATTTATATTATAAATGTACTACAGTACTGTACACTAATGTACCAAATTATTTATCTCTTGAGCAAAATATATGACTTTTATATTAAAATTATTGGCTGTCTTGCAAGGATTCCAGCAATGCAAATTATAATCTCCTAACTTTAGTCTGAGATATTATATAAGATAAACACTGTAAGCCTAAAACCCTGGCTGGGGGGGGGGGTTGAGGTGATATGTTTGACAATTTGAGCCGAAGGTCTCTGTGTGTTTACTTAACAGTCCTACTAAGCTTCTCTCATTTTAAAATGCCAGTGATATGACCTTGGAGAATATAATTAACATTGCTGGGATTCTTGTACAATACTGATTAATTTGAATATAAACATGCTGTAATTCGCACTAGACATAACAATTTTAGTACCGTAATCAAATTAGTACATGTGCACTCCAGCTTTGCACTAAGGTCATTTATTTCTGTTATGTTTCTTTTAGTATGGTGTGTGCATGTAAATGGATGCAAATAAATGAAGAAATTTACGTAAATCTACCCAAAAATACAGATGAAAAAATTTATATTATAAATGTACTACAGTATTGTACACTAATGTACTACATTTTTTATATCTTGAGCAAAATATATGACGCTTATTCTTAAATTAATCTCTGTCTTGCAAGGATTTCAGCAATGCAAATTATATTATCCTAACTTTAGTCTGAGATACAGTAAAAGTCCAAAAATCCGGATGCCAGAAATCCAGACTTTTCGAAAACTAATTTATTTTATTTTATTTTTTTTTTTAGCGGGCTTTTGTGTATGTGCGCATGCATGAGCGCCACACCTGCACAGCAACAACAAGCGACCACGTGGTCACCACTTTAAAACGAGCAATCAAACTGTGACAACATACCGTACAGTATATACTCGTCTATAACCTCCCCTCGTTTATAGGTCGACCCTGATTTTTTGACCAAGAAATGGTTAATTTACGATATTCCTCGTTTATAGTTCGACCCACGTTTTTGAGGGTAATGGAGCAACAAAACCTTCAGTAAAACGCTCTACGTCCTATAAACTGAGGCTCGCCGTGCCTGAAACACGAGTGCCGAAGGCAAATTGTTTACCATATATTATTACGACACTTTACACTGAAACGCGGGTAGTTTCAACAAAAAATTGTATATTTCCATTCAAATATTTATTCAAGTCAATTAGGAGGGAATATTATTGTAATACAACAGTTTTTTAACTAAACCATTCGAAAAGCGATTACGGTAACATCTTTTGAACAAAAGAAAGCGAAAGTCATTGTTTTCGTTACGATTTTATCCCACTTTCCACTGTAATACGTACGTAATTTCAGCAAAAATATTACATTTCCATGAAGGTATTATATCAAGCATAGTATGAATAGAATATCATTGTAATATAACAGAATTTTAACCGAAAACTATTAAAAAAACGAGTAACATCTCAAGAACATCGGAAGCTTAGGTAAAGTCTTTTGTTTTCGTCATGTATTTTATCCTATTTTACATTGAAATACATCACGTTTCAGCAAAACTACTATTTATTTCCGAGAATATATTCATTCAGACGCAGTTTAGGTAAAATATACGTGTGAT